ACTCACACATCTAAGCTGACATAATTCCACTCCCACCTTTCACTAACACAACACATTCTTCCTCAAAAATCCCTGTAAGATCAACAGTTTGCTCTGCTCGACAGGACCCCTCCTTTACTTAGGTAAGAAACCAATTGAAATTTGAGGTTTTATATTGATTTTGAGTGGTGGTCTCATATTTTGACCATTATGAGGTTCCACCAAGGTTATTTTGATGACTTTAACTTAAAAATAAATAAAAATGTGCTCACCAGGTCCCTTTGTGTCCAGATTTCATTTATCCTTTGGATTTGTTCCAAGTGCTTTTGTCTCAATATTGATCTGTAGTCTAACTCTCACTGAGCATGTATCGCTGAGTTTATTTTGTTAAAGGAGGATTCCTATCAAAATAGTTCTTTGTAGATGGCATTGTCAATATTTCAGTCATTAATTTTGTTATTCTTTGTGTGTGCTCATTTTGCTTTAGTGCATCTATTAGCACAAAGTCTTGGCTCAGGACTTTTTTTTCCTGTTGCTTTGTCTTCCATAGCCATTTTATTTCTTGGATATACAAGGAGCTCTACATAGGGAATGGACAAAGAAATATGTCCATTCGGTCTCCAATTCAACCCAAGTTGAGTCCAAGGACTATGAATTAGAGGTCCAGTAGACAGTAACAAATTCGTGATCAAATTTTGCGTTTTGTTCCCTAAACACCTTCATAGGGACACTTCCTCTTTCATCAGTCAGTGAAAGGCCATTTCATTTAGTCCATATGCCAGAGTAAAAAACTGTCATGTCATTCATTGTATAGTCCCTTCTTAGCCCCAGTTGGTCAGGTAGCCTGAGATGCTATTCTTTAGCATATATTTTGAGTGACTATAATGTCACTTCTTGTTTGTCATGAATTTTTCTAAATTAAAGTCGTAACTTCTTACTGGCAGAACTCCTACTTTTTATGTGAATTCTCACTAAAATACTAACTTACGTGCTCATCCTAGTACAGCAAAAATATTTTTAACCAAAAGTAGCAATGGCTACCTTGGGGGACATTCTGATACTCAAAATTAATACACTTAAGCAGAGCTCTAGAAAAATGGGGAAAACTCATAATATTCACAATTCAGTAGTCAACTTCTTTGGTGTGTCAAGACCTCAAAACAAAATTAATGACAAGATAGTTTGTTTCAAAGACTCTAATTTCCTATCATTCAAGCCTTTGGAAACTATGCTCTGAATACAGCTGATATAAAATTCTCATCACTCAGTCACATTTTTTCAATTCCTCTACTCCTAGCCTCCTAAATGTGATACACTTTCCTCAGGGCTTTTCTCAGAAAAGGCCATTGTATAGTATCTCTTAGACTTGCTAGACCAGAAAGGAGGATCAATAGCAGCTCAATTTAAACCTTGGTCTAGAGTATCAGTAAGACTAACACAAATTCGCTGCAGAATATGGAACTTTCTTAGATATACATTATTTTGGACTATTTAATTTATATAGTTAGCTTGCTTAATTGCTAGTCTCTCAAAAGGAAAAAAGGGTTAAAAGCAGCAGGACAGGAAACACTAGGAGGAGATTTTCATAACTCAGTCGTGTGTAAGTGAAGAAAATGGTTTTGAGAGGGCAAATAGATGCATACATATATGAAGTACACTAATAGGGACATGCAGTTTTTCCTTTATGGATATGAACAGTTTCAACATTGTAAGCAAAGTAAAGATGAATTAATAAAAGACTTTAAAGGTGCATTTCAGGAAAGTTTCAGTTTGAGTAGACAGTTGGAATAGGCCCAACATGTGAAATGAAGGGAACCTTTTTATTTGTCATTGCAATGGGCTCAGACCCAAACTAGGGAACTTAAACAGAAAGTGTACAATGGGATAGAAAATTGTCAGTTTAGGAGAGTTCCAACATGTAGCTGAACTTTTTCAATGAGCTTTAAAAAGGAAACTAGCTGAAAATTAAACCAAACTTCTGACCCTTCAGATAAAGTAACTGGCTCCAAGTTAAAAATAAAACCAAAAGTCCTCTGTTCTTTGAGAATAAAGACCCTATGGCTAGGAACACCTGTAGATGTTGTAAGCAGAAAAGCCAGTGAAGGAAACAATGAGCCATATTTTGAACAAAATATCAAAGAAACAAAAAGATAGTTATCCAAGATCTGTCCAATTATGCTGCTCTAAAAGCAAACTCAGCACAGCAATTTCCTGTCCTTCCTCTAAAGTCCCAAGGGGAATTGTCTATAAATACAGATGGACAACAATGCAGCTTTTATGTTACTAAACATGCTGCCCTATCTACCATTAATTCTGCTTCTAGAATTATCAGATCGCTCAGAAAAACATTTTAAAGTTGAAGAGCCAGAGGAAAGGTGAATTGACTTATAATACAAGTTCAGAAGAGGGGAAAGGGAGAGTTTTGTCTTCAAGTGAAAATGTTTGGTTGTGCAATAACATGAAAGAAAATAGTAACAAACTTGAGGGTGTATATAAATTTTAAAAGCCTTGAGGAAAAGTGAACTTTACTTGCCTTGTTTTACTGAAGCAATTCTGAAGTAGGAATTTCTATCAATCCTAAATCTTTTCACCAGACCCAATATTTAAATGTTACTTTGGAGCTATCACGAGAACATTCCTTTCTTCTTTGTGACGTAAGTCCTATCTTACATGGAATTTCCAGACAAAGTTGAAGGGTTATTCTTAAGGTACCCTAAAATTTTCCCTCATATGTACACTTACTGTCTATGTGTTGGAAAACTTTCACTATGTATAATTCAAGAAATAACTACAGAATTATCTATGGTCCACAGATGTGGTCAGAATATTTGCAATAAAGGCCATAAGAATCCATTGATTCTTTCAGGGTTATCATAAAAGTTCAGTTACATAGGTGTGTGAAAAGATAAAGCTCTTCTCTCAGGGCTATAACTCAACATGAAGCATGCCAATGAGCCATTGCGTGTTCTCCTTGTTTCAAAGATATTGTAGTCTCAGCTAATTTTGTTAAAACCTTTTCAGATCATCTTTCCCAGTTTGTGAACTGCCTTTTAATTATCTTACTGATGTCTTTCAAAAAGTTTTAATTTTAATAAATTCCAACCTACAAATTTTTTTTTCTTTCATGATTCACGCATTCTATATCCTAAGAAAATCTTTGCTAATCTCAAGATAGCAAATGTCTCCTATTTGTTTTTTCCCTGAAATTTCTAGATTTAGCTTTTGTTTAGGTCTATCATCCATTTTAAAAATCTAAATTTTACACTAAAATTATGTGATATAAAAGTTGAGGTTCATTTCTCATAAGAATACATACTTATTCCATTTGTTGAAAAGACTCTTCCTCTTTGAGTTGCTTTAGTGCCCCTTTGTTTTTAGACAGAGTCTCACTTTTTTGCCCAGGCTGGAGTGCAATCACAGCTCACTGCAGCCTCGACCTCTCCAGGATCAGGTGATCCTCCCATCTCAGTCTCCCAAATACGTAGGACTACAGGCATACACCACCACACACAGCTGATTGCGCCTTTGTGAAAAATCAATTGTCCATATATGCATGAGTCCATTTTTGAACTCTATTCTGTCCATTGGTCTTTAACCTTTCTTATAAAACATGCCCATTAGCAATAAAGTTTCTCATGTTTTCTCTGAGTCTTCTCACTTTTTGAAGATGTTTGCTGAATATCAAATTCTAGGTAAATGGGCTATTTTTTCAGCACTTTTAAGATGGTATGCCAGGGTCTCTAACTTGCTGTTTAAGAAAAGAAATATGTAGTTATTCTTACCTTGGCTTCTCTGCACAAATATACCTTTTTTTTTTCTCCAGCTGCTTTTACAACTTTCTCTGGTTTTCACCAATTTCATTATGATGTACCTTGTTAAGATTTTTTTTTGTGTAACCTTGTTTGTTGAATTTCTTGTGATCTGTGGGTTTGTAGTTTTCATCAACTGAGACTTTTCAGCCATTATTATTATTTTTTACCATAATCTTATGAGTATTTTTTAAAACTGTACTTTAGTTTCTGGGGTACATGTGCAGATCATGCAGGGTTGTTGCATAGGTACGTACATTAGCCATTATTTCTTAATATACTATTTTTGTTTCCACTACTCCAACTTCTAGGACATGAAATACAGGTATATTAGAACAGTTGATATTATCCCATAGGTGGCTAAGACACTGTCCTATTTTTTTTCTCTTTGCATTTTAGCATGCTTTTAAATTCACTGATTTTTAGTTCTATAGAGACCAACTTGCTATAATTTCATCTATTCCTTCTTATCTAGCTAGTGACCAAAGAAAACAAATAGAAGCAGTGAATTTTTTAAAAAAAATAAATCTTACACATACTTAAAGGCATATGGCTGGGCACAGTGGCTCACGCCTGTAATCCAAGCACTTTGAGAGGCTGAGGTGGGCGGATTGCCTGAGGTCAGGAGTTTGAGACCAGCCTGGCTAACATAGTGAAACCCTGTCTCTATGAAAAATACAAAAAAATTAGCCAGGTGTGGTGGCATACACCTGTAGTCCCAGCTACTAGGGAGGCTGAGGCAGGAGAATCACCTCAACCCAGGAGAAGGAGGTTGCAGTGGGCCAAGATTGCACCACTGCACTCCAACCTGGTCAACAGACTTGTCAAAAAACATAAAGGTATAAATGCATAAACCACAAATAATAGTCCTAAATTAAGGACTATTAATTTAGAAATGAGTAAGTAGGCTGGGTGCAGCTGCTTATGCCTATAATCCTAGCTCTGTGGGAGGCCGAGGCGGGGGAAGCACTTGAGGTCAGGAGTTCAGGACCATCTGGGCAACATAGTGAAACCACTATAAACATTTTAGCCAGCCATGCTGGCGGATGCCTATAGTCCCAGCTACTCTAAAGGCTGAGGCAGGAAGATTGCTCAAGCCCAGAAGCTCAAAGTTACAGTGAGCTATGATCATGGCACTGGACTTCATCCAGGGAGACAGAGCAAGACCCTGTTTCTTAAACAATTTAAAAAATAAATAAAGATATGTATAAGTAGTTTTTTCAATGCCTCCTTTATTATATCTGTAAAATTATATGTAGCATTAGAAATGTTATTGAATATGACACCAACAATGTGCTATTGTATTTTTTTAATTTTGACTTCTTTTAAAGAAGGTGATAACAATCTGTGGAAAATGCTTTTACTGTATCATGCCAACATACTGCAAGAAGTATTTCAAAATAATATAAAAGTAATTCACACATTTAGATTAAGTGAAGGTCATATGATCCAAAAATTTTCTTCCTTAGTTTTTCACAGCAACTGCTAAAGTCCATAAGCTGATTTTTCCAAGAAAATTATTCTAATAATTTTGAGTGTTCAATCCGTGCAATGGTCCAGTCAGGCTTTACTCCTTGTGTAAATTCCCTCTGAAACCTAGGAAAAACATTGTAAATAATGTAAATCTTACATCAGTCCAAATATGTCTTAGATAACTATGTAATTTGCAAGTGTATATTTACAAGAATTTTTGGAAACAAGCCAATGGTTAATATTAAATCAAAATCAAAACAAAAAAAACCTGTAACCTACCAATTCAATCACAAAAAATATACCCACAAAATTAAAATACATTCTCAAGTAATGTGCGTATTTTTAATGGACTAATCTATATTCAACATCTGCCAGCCCCTAAGAGAAACTTGGATATTATTCTGTTTAAACACTAGCTGTAACACACGCCTAGTATTAAGAGAAATAAACTGGACTCTGGTGATGCAAACAGCACTTTAAATACATAAACTAGGATACAGGAATAGCTGTTTTTCAAATAGCACTGCTACCAATTTAGGAATAAATAGTGGAATTTAGTTTACATACATTAAATTAATCTTGAAAATAACAATGTTTATGAGGTACCCATAGTCTTAGTAAGAAACATCAGAAGAGAAAAAGTTTAATATTGATGACAGTGCTCTTTAAAAATGATGTCTTAACAGACAATCCAGTGGATTTAAATTAAGTATTTAAATATGTAGAATATTTTGGGTAAGTACAAATAAAATAAAATTAAAAAAAATACTTTTCTTTCAAGAAAAGTAAAAAAAAGAATCAGGATACAATTCTTTTTACTTAAGTAAAACAGAATACATTTTATTTCTTAGGTCATTTTTAGGGTTTGTTTGTTGTTTTAAAGCAGATTTGTGTAACTGTGGCAACATAATCATTTTTTTAAATAAATGTTAAATTATATCTTCACTGACTTGCTCCAGCTGTTCACTGTTCTAGATTTTTTTTTTTTTTTTTTNACGGAGTCTCCAGCCAGGCTGGAGTGCAGTGTGGTGCAATCTTGGCTGACTGAAATCTTCTCCTCCCAGGTCCAAGCGATTCCCCTGCCTCAGCCTCCCAAGTAGCTGGGACTATAGGCATACACCACCACGCCCGGCTAACTTTTTATATTTTAGTAGAGACAGGGTTTCACCATGTTGGCCAAGATGGTTTCAATCTCCTGAACTCATGATTCCTCTGCCTTGGCCTCCCAAAGTGCTGGGATTACAGGTGTGAGCCACCGTACCTGGCCTATTCTACATCTAATTTGCATAAAAATACAACATAATGTCTGTTTTACATAACTTGCTAACTTCCTACTATACAATATGTCCTTAAGGGCAGTATCCCTTCAACTTTGTATCTGAACCTCTACCAGACCATGTGGGCACACAGATGATCAACAAATGTCTAGTGAATTGGTTCACGTACCAATGATTCCAATGATGGCAGATTTTATTTTCCAGAAATGGCTACAACCATACCTCTCCTCCCATGTGCTCTTCCATTATGAGGCCTTGCTGTTTTTTTGCCCCAAAAAGTGAAGGAGTCTTTCTATACCCTTTAAACTACACAGATCCTTTGACTGCTTTGACAAGTAGACTATGGCAGAACTGATGCTCTAATTCTGGGCATACCCCTTTACTGGTTTAGCAGCTTCCATTTTCTGCCTCTTAGAATCCAACCACCATGTAAAAGATATGACTAGTCTGAAACTATCGCAAGTCCAAGCCACAAAGAGAGGCCCTGGAGAATTCAGAGTCATGTAGAAGCCAAGGAGTACCAAGGTGCCACACATGTGAGTTAAGAAGTCACTGTGGAAATGAATCCTCCAGCTCCTGCTACCCATGTTGATGCCAGGTGAAGCAGAGAAAACCCCATAACTGAGCCTATCCAAAATTTCTGAGCAGTGAAATAACACGTAAAACCAATGGCTGCTTGAAGCCAATGAATTTGGGGATGATTTGTTATGCAGCAATAGACAGCTAAAACATCATTTAATTAAATTCAACAACATTACCTCTTTCTAAGTTCTTAACTGTCCTGTTTCATATCCAGTGTGTCTTTCTGACCTTTTCTCTTCATAAATAACTTGTCAAATTTCAAATCCTTTCTTCCTAAAGATCACTTAGTTTTCATACCTTCAAACTACCTTCCATTTTCTGGAGAAAGGAAACAATGAAATCTGATTAAACTTACTCATAGCTTGCATTAAGAAGTTGTTTAGTTTCCACATTCTGATTCCCCAACTTAACCTGGAATAAACTGGCTCCTCTTAAGGTTTCACTAGGGATGTTGGCACTGGTTAGATACCAAAAGCACATCAGGATGTTAACAAACTTCCTTCCTTAGGGAAAAAACATATACACACACATACAAATACAAATCAAAACAATCTATCATCCATATATACAAAATGAAATCAGAAATTGGCAGTAGTTATACAGTTGTTACAGGTCAAATTTTGTGTTTATTCTGGTGTGACTTAAAATACTTGTATTGATACTAATTTGTTTTTAGAAAATTGTCTTAGGGTTTATGACATACTTGCCCTCTTCTCACATCTGAGTAATAAAGCTACTGCTTAACTGAGCACATACTTTATTAAGTATACTATATGGATTATTTTCAATTAGTGGCATTTTCTTTTTCTTTTTTTGACACAGGGTCTCCGTATCACCCAGGCTGCAGTGCAGTGGCGTAGTATCGGCTCACTGCAACCTCTGCTTCCCAGGCTCAAGCAATCCTCCCACCTCAGCCTCCTGAGTAGCTGGGACCACAGGCATGCACCATCACACTGGGCTATTTTTTTGTATTTTCAGTGGAAACTGGGTCTTGCCATGTTGCCCAGGCTGGTCTTGAACTCTTGAGCTCAAGCGATCCACCTGCCTCAGCCTCCCAAAGTACTGGGATTACAAGTGTGAGCCACTGCATCTGGCCAGGCATTTTCTAAGATTATAATAATTTTATGAAAGATGTCTGTTGTCAAAAGAAAAATGAGGAGAAAAAAATCATATCTTTTGCTGCTCAGTAACTACCTTAACCTCAACTGTGAGAAAGAGTAAAGGCTTCCTATTCTACCCTAATTCACCTTGCTGTGCCTGGTGATTCCGACAACCTCCTGATGCAAAAATTAGTGACCATGGTGCTGAGATGTAATCCGAAATATTAGGAAAGATGAAATATTTATCACTATAAGATCTTTACAAATGTTTCAAAATAATGTGTGCATGAAAAATTTTATCATCATCAAGAGTCTTCTTCTACCTTGGGAAGTGTATAAGCAGAGGTTACATTTCCTGTGTGGCTGGCACACAATACATATGCAAATAGAGTGATCCCTCGAAATTCATGGAGGATTGGTTTTAGGACCCCTGTGGATACCAAAATCCACAGATGCTCAAGTCCTTTATATAAAATGGTGTAGTATTTGCATAACACACATCCTCCAGTATACTTTAAATCATCTCTAGATTATTTATAATACCTCACAATGTAAACGCTATGTAGTTATTATACTGTATTTAGAGAATAATGACAAGAACAAAATCTGTACATGATCAAGTACAGATCCAACTATTTTTTTTTAATATATTTTTTTATCCAAGATTGTTTAAAACTATGGATGTGAAACCCCTGGATATAGAGGACCAACTTTGTATGTATTAGGAATAAATCAGTGAATTATCAGGAATGCTATAGGGAAAATGTATGCTGCAGACAAGAAGAACCAGATAACCACTAAACTTCCTCCCAGCTTTTTTCATTATTCTCAAATAGATCCAATTTGAGAGTTCTGCAGTTAATCTTTTCAAATCGTCTTTAGCTGACATTATCTACTTTGATTTTCTTTTACCCCTTATTCCTTCCACATGATGTACAGTTTTAAAATACTCAATTGTTTCCTTCAAGTTAGGAAATCTGAAACACAAATATTTTCAGTTTGAGATGTGGGAGCCGCTCAAACTATTTTCAACAATGTAAGTGATGATGTTCTCTACTGTGAATTAAATAGTAGCAGAAAAAATTTCTAGGTAGAAAGGCTTAAGAAATGATTACCATATCTTAACTCTTTCAAAAGTAGGTCTTTAAAGAATGGATATAACATTTTCTTTGAAGTTCTATAAATATTTACTTGTCCTGACAAAACTCCACTATTTTGTGATTATCTATTATTTTAGCTTTCTGGACAATTATGGATCATTTCAAGTTACCTATGCTCTGGCATTACCTTTCTCATCATAGTAAATGGAGATGTCTCCTGTTGATGTATATACAATTTCGTCTATGTTAGCAGCAAGGGCATTTTTATGGTTGTCAGGTAGTGAAGTAACCTTTTGTTTCAATACATGTAGCACCTAAGTTTGAAAAAAGCAAGCCATTAGTTCACCGATTCAATTTTTGAAACCTTTCAAAAAGTGATCTTTATCATGGATACATTTTTCCAAACCTGTTTTTAAATTGACTACCATATTTACTCCTTCTCAAAAGCAAGGCTGAAATGCATCTCATTATTCAACTAGGTAATTTCTAACAGAACATTCTATATAAGAGCAACTGAAAGACATTATGGTTACTTACTTCTGCCTTAAGTATCAAGAGTTATTCCATACTTTTATATGACCCAAAGTACCCATTAGAACAGATACACAGACACTTACTTTGGATGCTGGCACACACAATATTTTTATTTATTTTCCTTATAAATAAGGAAAATGTACATCATTCTACTGCAAGAGAATATCATTTATTTTTAAAGAAAAATGTAAAATGTACTTTACCTCTTTGGCCACAAGTTCTTCCAACAGATCAAATTTACACTGTGACAGCAACTTGGATACATGAGCAAAAGCCTTAAAAAAAATATTAAGGGAAGGGTGGGGATTATTATTTCAAAATACCATACCATGTTCATATTTAAATGGCTAAGTAAAATAAAGACTATTTTATAGTAACAGAAATAAACAATATCAAATATTAATTTATCAAAGTATGACTCCTTCAAGGTTGGTTCACTTTTCATATATGGCCTTTCCACATATATAGCAGTAAGTGACTTGACCTTTAATTCTGAATCCACTCTCAGGCCTGGGAAATGATAGTGTGTGGTGTGCAATCTAGATGTCTTAATAAAAATTCTCCTTTCTATTTCCTTTTAAAATGATGAAGTAAACAATCATTTGGCAGTTCTATGATCTACCTCTTAATCGTGCATAGATAGCAGTTGAAAAGGAGAACAGTCTAGACTGTATTGGGAGTCTGGAAATCTGGGCTGTGGTCTGAATCTCAGTATGGGAGATAACATAAGTTTGGGAAAGTGGGATAATAGGTAATTAGTTTATATGGTCTAAAACAGTAGATCCTAGCTTTGAAGTATGAAATTCTATTTTCAAGGAGGTAAAAACCCAACTGCAATTCTCCCCATTACTAGCAATGAGAAATCAAACTGTGAATTAAGATCCTGTCTTCAGGGAACGTTCAGTCTACTTGGAGAAAAGACAAGTAAACTGACAAGTTTAAGAATTTTGACAGGGATAAGAACAGGATGACTTGGGAGCATAAAGGAGAACCATCAAATCTAATCTGCGAGGATCAGAGAGGACTTCCTAAAGGAAGTAACATCTAAACTGAAATCTGAAATAAGCTGCAATCTAAGCTGCTGGGGGATGCACAGATATGTCAGATATGGCATGCCAGAGAATACTGCCTACTTGTTACAGGATGAATTGTGCTCTCCTTCCCCCTAAATTTATGTTGAAGCTCTAACCCCCAGAACCTTGGAATGTGACTATATTTGGAGATAAGACCTTAAAGAGGTGTGATTAAGTTAAATGAGACCATCAGGGTGGGCCAAAATCCAATCTGACTGGCATCCTTACAGAGGAGGAAATGTGGAGTAAGAGGCACCAGGAGTACACATGCATAGGGAGGACCATGCAAGGACACAGTGAGAAGACGGCCATCTGTTAGCTGAGAGAGGTCTCAGGAGAAAACAGCCCCTCCGACACTTTGATGAAATTTTGGTTGTTTGTTTTACATAAGCAACACTGCATACACACTGGCTGATGAATGAGGTAGGAATACTGCTTAATAGCAAGGAAGCAGGTGAAAGTAGCTAACAGCTGGAGGACAACTAGGATTGGAGTGACCTTCAAAATGCTGCATGCTCCTCTGTGTGTTCAGAGGAAACAAGTACTGAGGCTTGATTCCTGCCAATGGTGAGGAGGTGATTTCCATTCCTTCCTGGAACATAAATGAACTGGTACCATATGTTATGAGGTGGACCAGCTCATATATCATCAGCAGGCATTGTAGAGAACAGTAGGATCAATACAACTTGCCACTGCATGGACAAAAGATTTTGAGAACTGACATGAACAGAGGTTTTATCCCTTAATTATGATGCTGAGTTATGTATCTTAATTAAGCTTGCTCTTTGACTTTTTTAAAAATATAACATATATAGTAGTCAAGAGTTGACTCAAGAGAAGCAGGCAGCAGGAGTTAATACTGACGCTTATTACACAAAGTTGACAACATTTGATTTACAACTGATAGGTCTCATAAATACAAAAAGCCACGATTATGGAAAGAATCTGAAATAAATTTGGAGTAAAACATCAATACCAGCATACAACCAATATTGTAAAATGATTACACCAATGGCATGGTTTTAAGGCATATGGTTTTAAACCGGGAAATAAACTTTATGACTTCTAGTTTTGTTTGTTTTTTGAGACAGAGTCTTGCTCTGTCACCCAGGCTAGATGGAGTGTATCTGTCACCCAGGCTGGATGGAGTGTAGTGACATGATCCAGGCTCACTGCAACTTCTGCCTCCAGGGTTCAAGTGATTCTCCTGCCTCAGCCTCCCGAGTAGCTGGGACTACAGGCACCTGCCACCACACCCAGATAATTTTTGTATTTTTAGTAGAGATGGGGTTTCACCATATTGGCCAGGCTGGTCTCGAACTCCTGACCTTGTGATCCACTGGCCTTGGCCTCCCAAAGTGCTGGGATTACAGGCATGAGCCACCTCGCTCAGCCAACTTCTATTGTTATCAAAAGTTCTGCAACGTTTGGGAACAATATACAACTGTAAAGGAGTCCAAAGAAAGGTATAGATGGCCCTTAGTCCTAGAAAAAAAGCACGTACCCACAAAATCTACAAATGATCTCAGGACCCAAGTGACCATATGTTGCAAGTGTAAGGCAATGCATAATCAGCCATTCAGAAAGAGGTACATAACTAACAAAGTCAGGGATAAGAATCTCTAACAGCTAAATATTCTGTGTGCTGAGCACTTAGCCACCAGGCAGTCTCAGCAAATTCTTTGAAGGGGCAAAATTGCTAACCTCCAGTTTAATCTTTAAGGAATATGATTAAGGGGTGGTATATTGGTGGGCTCTGTCAAATAGCTGCCAGGAAGTTCTACTCTTCTACTCCAGGTGACATTACATCACTTAGGAAATGTTATCTCACCTATTCTTCAAACTTACACATTCATTAATGTATTCAACAAACATTCATGGAGTGCCTACTATGTGCCAGGCATTGTCTTGCCCACTTCGTAGATTTGAAAATTATGCTCAGACAAGATGGGACCAAACAGCTTTTTCTTTTTTTCTATTTTTTGAGACACGGCCTGGTTGTCTGCCAGGCTGGAGTGCAATGGCACAATCTTAGCTCACTACAACCTCCAACTCCTGGGCTCAAGAGGTCCTCCCCCTTCAGCCTACCGAGTAGCTGCGACTACAGGTGTGTACCACCATACCTGGCCCAGAAGCTTAAAGTCAATCAATGGCTGGAAGGCTCTATGTCTGGGCCACTAATCACGTTCGATCGCTTGTATCCCACTGAAGAAACCTCACTGCTAAGCACTTATAGGAGAAATAAACTCATTAGGGATGGATAGGTCAACCAGGGAAATAAACAAACCTGCTTCGCTCCCTCAGAGAACTCTGCGATGTTGAACTCTTTGTCGAAATAGGCCCAGATAAGGAAGGCGTAAATTCGAGTCCTAACCCAGTTGATGGGGTTGGCGAATCCCAGGACGATCATCTTGGTTTTCTGGTGCTGCTGGGGCTTCTCCTTCGTGCTGTAGCTGCGCCGAGGGCAGGCAGGGAAAGAAGCGAAGGCTATGGGGAGTCCCGGGCGGCTGAGCACTGGCTGCCAGGAGCCCTGGGCAGGTAGCACCGAGGCCGCGGAGGCCCAAGCCCTTCGGGGAAATGAGGCCGCTCCCGAGCCGAGGCGACATCGGCAAAGGTAGCAAAGTCCGGCCGACGGCAGCCTCACCTCGGCCGCACCGGGAGTCCGGAGTCGGGCGGCCCCGCAGGGCAGCGACCGAGAGTTCAGCAATTGGGGTAACAGACGAGCGGCCAGCGCCATTTTCATGACCCTTCACCCCGGTGCCTGCTGGTGCTGTATCGAAAGGAAGTCGGTGGGAAACAACCTCAGTGGTGTCGGAGAAGGAGACTGGAAAGCAAAGTTGGCCGGCTGCTGCCGCCTCTGGTAAGTCGGCCACGTCACCGCTCTCCAGCACGCAGCCCAGGCCGAGGCCCTTCAATAACCCCCCGCGCGCTCGGACCCAGCCACTCTGGAGTCCGCCGGCCTCGCGGACCTTTTCTCTGTCGGTCGTGTTTCCGGGCGGATGGCGCTGAGGAGCCCTTTAGAACCGAAGTTCCGAGGCTGAAAGAGGGCAGGCGTGAGCAACCATGGCTGGGCAGCACCTCCCGGTACCCCGGCTGGAGGGCGTTTCTCGGGAGCAGTTCATGCAGCACCACTACCCACAGGTGAGGCCCTCGCGCGGGGCGGAACCATGGGAAGCCAGCAAGAGACGCGTCTTTACCATTCGTACTGCTCGGAATTGGTTTCTAGAGACCCAGGATGTGGGAAAGAGGCGCAGGACTGCAGCAGATGACTGGTTGGCCCTTAGGCCAAGGGACAGGTGCACCGGGGACGCCGACTGGCTCCTCTGTTGAAATTTCCGGAGAAAGTCCAATGTTTGTAGGGAGCAAGATGATGGCGGAGAGCTGAATGCGAGATGTATTTTGCTTAAGCTCTCTACTCCGCACCTGTCAGTCTACTCCGAATTAATGGATTTGGAGGCACAGCTTTTCACTCCATTGAGCCAACAGGGAAAGCAATGGGATTCCCCCGGAAAACTCCTACTGGCCTTGAGTTCTAACTAACTCAGGTTCTAGTTCCGACATTGGAGTCTTTTATACTTGTTAGAACTTCAGGTCTTTAAAAGAAAACTAATAGAGAAATATTAGGGAAACAAAAAGTGCTTTTACTTGCAGTGCTTTTACAAGGGAATCCAGACTTAAGAAAAACAGAAGATATTGAAAGAAAAAATCCACAGTATTACAGTAAGTCTGTTTATGGTAAAAACAAAAACAAAAAATCCTAGCAATTTTCTTACCTGATGTTTGCATTTATAAGGGTGGTCACAGAACTACAGTTCTGGAGCCAGGTGCGGTGTATCACTCCTGTAATTCCAGCGCATTGGGAGGTTGAGGCAGGTGGATCACCTGAGGTCGGGAGTTCGAGACCAACCTGACCAACATGGAGAAACCTCGTCTATACTAAAAATACAGAATTAGCCGGGCGTGTTGGCTCATGCCTGTAATCCTAGCTACTCGGGAGGCTGAGGCAGGAGAATCTCTTGAGCCCGAGTGGCGGAGGTTGTGGTGAGCCCGAGATTGTGCCACTGCACTCCAGCCTGGGCAACAAGAGTGAACTCCATCTCAAAAAAAAAAAAAAAACTACAGTTCTGAGTGTTAGCAAAGTCAGGGATTGGGTGCAGTGGCTCACACCTGTAATCCTAACATTTTAGGAGGCCGAGGCGGGTGGATCACTTGGAGTTCGAGACCAGCCTGACCAATATGGCGAAACCCCGTCTCTACAAAAAAGACAAAAATTAGCCAGATGTGGCAGGCTCTGTTTTCCCAGCTACCCTGGAGGCTGAGGTCGGAGGATCTGCTTGAGCCCGTGAGGTTGAGGCTGCAGTGATCCATGATCCTGTCACTGCACTCCAGCATGCGGGAGAGGGAGAGACCCTTGCTCAA